TATCTGTAGATGATTGCAGGGTTTTGCTTCAAATGCCTAAGGGTCTGGCTGTGATTCACCAACAGGGGCATGCTAAACACCAAGTTGCATCTCTACCTGCCATTGCCACTTTAAGCACCATTGGGTCAGCTAGATCATATGGCCCAAGTGGCGGAGCAGCTAGTGCAGCAGCTGAAACCTGTTGCTGAGCCGTCTCTCATTCTGGGCTCTACTGAAAATGAGCAGCTTTTCAAGTCACTTGATAAATAGGCTGGAGGAGTACACTCAAATGACGAATTGTTGTTGTTATTAACTGCTGTCAAATTGTTTCAACTCATAGTGACTCTATATAGGGTTTCTGAGGAATGGCTGGTGAATTTGAACTGCTGAACTTACTGTTCAAACTGACCGTATGGTCCAGCGCATTAACCCATGGCATCATTGCAGTAGCTTCTAAAATCCAAATAGACCCATCAGGCGTTGTGGCTTTTTGGTTGTGGGAGGGGCCAGATGCAATAACTTATTCTTCACTGAAGAAGAAGTATCTTGACATGACTCACACACCAATGAAACTCTAGAAAATTCACTGAAGTGGAAGGCACCTGTATTTTTGTTGGGTTAATTTTCCATCCTCTAGCATCTACATGGAGTCCTGGTGTGGTGCTGTGGGGTAATGTGCTGGACTGCAAAATCGGTTTGAACTGCAAGGTCAGCAGTTCAAGCTTACCAGCTGCTCCTTAGAGACCCAAACAGGGTCGCTGTGGGTCAGAACCGACTCAACGGCACACAACAACAATAGCATCTACATGCAGGAGAAATATGAGGCTTTCTGCTCCTGTGAAGATTAGAAACCTCAGATCCTATACTGGATTGACATGACTTGGAAGTCACTCGGCACTTACCAGCAACAACAGAGCATGCACATGTTTTACCAGTGTTTCTAGAGTCACTGATACATCTTCCTCACTAGGTCCAATCAGCATGTCATCAGTGTAATGGACCAATGTGATATCTTGTGGAAGGCAAAGGTAGCCAAGGTCCCTTTGGACTAAAATTTGACATACTCCTGAGGTAGGGCATTGAAGGTGTGTTGTTGGCTTTGCCAGTTGAAGACAAACTCCTGGTGATTCTTTGAAATTGAAATTGAGAAAAAGGCAGTCACCAGGTCAATACAGTATGTCAAAAAGAACTGCTACAAAATCATAAAAAAACTTTATTAAACAAAAATATAAAAATGAGCTGCTAGTGTTCCTCACATATCTTCCATGTAGGTCTACACACTTCTGAAGGCCCAGCTTCCATCATCCTAATCCTTTCCTGAAGAATTCTGTGCTCTCTGCTTTACAATCATGTCAAAATGGCCGGTCTGACGTTCTTCAGTGACTCAAGTGATGTTCCTTTGAAGTGCTCTTTTGAGTTTGGGAAATGTAAGAAAATTCTCATAGGACAGCCCTTGAAAAATGATCAGGTGCACTATCATGATGAAAATAAATTCTTTGACATAACTTTCCTGACCAATGCAGTTTTCAATTTTCTGGAAACTTTCATAGTAAGTAAGCCCCTGTGATTTTCTCATGTCCTTTGTGAAAGTTTCCAGATGACCCTTTTGGATTCCCAAAACAGTCACCATGACTTTCTGAGCCAAGTTCTTGCTTGAATGTAATTGGCCCAACAGACCACACTAAGATAAGTGTGTTATTGAAAGAACTTGCCTTTAGACATTGACTGCTCAATAGAGGCATGTTGAAATACATTTTGTTTGGAACAAACTCAGACATGTATGAACTAGAACACTAGTAGTAACATGAGTTCCATATTTTTTAGTTCATCTACTTGCTAAAATTGATTTGTAATTCCCAAATCAATACTTGTAGCACATTCATGGTCATTTGTGATCATGTACAAAGTAGTGAAAAATCTGAGTCCCAGTTAAAGCTAAACCAAGTGTGGTACCTTGGGTTAACTTGATAAGGCTTTTTTATCCAGGGTCTTAATTCCCACCAAGTGACTGAGTTGTTAAGTGCTGTTGAGTCGATTCTGACTCATAGTGACCCTGTATAGGGTTTCCAAACCCTAGAGGGTTTGAACTGCTGACCTTGTGATTCTCAGTCTAGTGCTGATCCTACAGCACTACACCTGGAGTCCAAGTGATTGAGTGAGACCATGCAAATAAGGCATGCGAGTTTAAAGCTGGGATTGGTTAGTTTTACCATGAGGTTTAAAAGGAGCGATCTCAAAAGCACAGGAATGGACAATCAAGAAAGAAGAGCATGAATCGGAGTGTGAGATCCCTACCTAAAAAACAGCAACAGCAGAGGCAGTAAGTAGTAGACGTGGTGACATGGAACAGCTGTAGGCATCTAGGCCCATGAACTGAGTAAAGCTGTGTGCCAACGAGCAGGAGGCTTGCTTGCAGAGCATGGCCTCTGAACATTTACAGACTGACTAAGGGAGTTGGTAACACTTACTTGAGCAGGGCTGGGGCTGTGGGGCCAAATGTTTGAGAGACCTAAGACAAGAGTGAGGCCTGACTGCAGTATGGCAAACAAGAGGTGTTCCTGACTGGAGTTCTGCTGCATCCTGAGTTGTTTGTGAATCGTACCCTGTTCACTTCCCTAATAAAGTCCATAATTGTGAGTATTGTTATATGAGTTCTGTGTAGCCACTGCAATGGACTGTTAAACCCATATATGAAGCATAGAGTGCTGCGGGAGGGACAGTTGGTGTCAGAACAGAGTAGAGAAGATTGTAGGGTTGGAGGTATGTCTGACCTCTGCTTCATAGAAATCAGCTTGGGCTTCCCTTTGTGAAGTCAGGGGAAGTCAGATATAGGCCTACATGGTTTTTGCACCAAGTGATGCAAAGTTTTTTAAGTTTTTTTTAAAAATTTTTTTTATGGTGAATTGGGTCAAGGTTTACAGACCAGATCACCAGCTTTAAATTCAACAATCTATATACATTTTGTTCCATTTCATTGATTACAATCCCCTCAATGGAACATCATTTTTCCCACTTGCTCCCTGTTTCCATTCCTTCTTTGTTCCTATCCCTTCTGAACTTTGTCCTTGGGTAAATGCTGCTCTTTTGATCACCACTGGGGCTGATTATTCTAAGGTTTGCATGCCTCACTAGTGTTGTTGTTCCCTTTATAAATCTATTGTTTGGCCAAAAATTAAAACCACAGGGGTGAACTCATTTCCAGACCTGAAGATGTTGTTGTTGTTGTTGTTAAGTGCCGTCGAGTCGGTTCCTCAGGGATTCTGCCAGTCTGTATCCAACAAGTAAGCTCGGGCTTCTTTATGATTTTGGGTTTTGTTCCACATTTTTTACTACTCTATTCAGGACCATGTAATGTAATCTCTTTCAGAGCAGTTGGCAGTGGTAAGATGGGCACCATCTAGTTTTTCTGGTCTCAGGGGCTTGGAGACTGATGTTTACATGGTCCCACCATGTGACTGACTGTTTGCATGTAGCTTTGATTTTCTGCACTCTTCATTCCCTCAGAAAGGGAGAGATCAATAGTTGCATCTTAGATGGCTGCTCACAAGTTTTTAAGACTTTAGCTGCTACTCACCAACAAAGCAGGATGCAGACAGTTCACTGTCTTTATGGACTGTTGCACCAAGTTATCTTAGTGTGCCCCCTAGACTATGGCCCTGAGCCCCCAGGTCCAGCAACATAGTCCCTCAAAGTATTTGGTTATATCCAAGAAGTTTTCCTGTCTCCCCCCTGGCCCTTTGTTTGTGCCTTCTTGTTTCAGCTTTCATACTGTAAACAAGTGTCCTTTTCATGGTCTACTTCGTGTCATGTTTTTACTATTCTTGTGTGTGTGTAATTTTTGATTGTGATATATGATTGTTTAAAATGGTCCCCAAACAGTGTCCAAGTGCTGTCTTAAGTACAAGAGAGCTGTGCTGTGCCTTCTGGCGAAAAAAAAAATGATGGCGTCAGATAAACTTTGTTCAGGACTGAGTTACAGTACTGTTAGGTGTGAGTTCAATGTTAATGAATCCACAATATATACAAAAATAATGTTATGTATTACTCAATTGATGAATATGTGACTAGAGGTTTGCAGGAAACAACCCTGAATTTTCCTTAGGAGCAATGGTTCAGTATTCACTAATTGTCTGTGGTGACTTGATACTTTGTAACTATTTCATACAGGAAGAATAGACTACATTCACATTATTAAAAACACTAGATGTGATCTTGCTTAAGGGATTCATCACAATGCCAGTGATGGGGACAGTTAACACGAGAAGTTAGGGAAGGAATAAATGAAATAAAGCCCCTGCTTTATTTGCCACATCATGTGAAGATGTCATAGAATGACTAAGCCATTCTATGTGGCTTAGTCCTGAAAATACCCAATATATGCACTGTTCTCAGAGTTGTGGCCAATATATATGTGAGCAAATCCAAAGCTTACATGAACTTTTTCACACACAAAAAAACCCCTTCATTTTATCACCAGAATCTGATTTTAAAAAAATTTCAACTGAGCCGTGCTTTGTTGATTCAATCCAATCTCATCACCATTTGTACATCTCTTCAGAGTGTATGTCCTAGTAGTAGTTGATCACTAAAAGTTGCTTAAATCATTTTTAGAATGTAGTTGCCATGTTCTACCTCTCAGTGACCCTATAGAAGAGAATATAACTAGTCTGAAGTTCCTTATGAGAGCAGATTGTCATGTCTTTTCTTCTGCCAAGCTTCATGTGGGTTCAAACCACTGACTAAGTGCTTAACCACTAATACACCAAACATTGAAGAACGGCAATAATATGTTCCTAGCATGTGATAATGATGTCAATAATAGAGTCCCATCTGCTGAGTGTCAGTCAAGACAAATGAAACCCTGATTTGAAACCTTAAGAGAAGGTCGGTATTTCCTAGGAAGCATGTACACCCACAAGATACAATGGAAAAATGTCTGACCTTCTCATTGGAACTAATGCACAGAACATTTTCCTCTAACACCTACAGCCTACTGAGAGGACTTTCCCGAGAACACCTACCATAACTTCAGTGTTCCTGAGCACATTCTGATAGCCAGCTGGATGTAAGACGATGCCACTGGGGTTGGTATAGACCCCATGGATGTGCAACACGCTCAGCTTCCTCTTCTCCTGAGCCCACTCGAGGACCTGTATGACATGAACACAGCTTAACGTCACTGGCAGAGCAGAGGAGCTGCTTCAAGGTCACAACAGGCAAGAGGCTGCATTGGAGGACGAGTCTTTTGATCAAACTCCCTGACTTCATGATATCATTGGGCAAAAATACAAACACTGAAGTGGCCTAAGTTTTTAGTTCAGGTATCACTGTTAGGACTTTTAGCAGTAAGTCTGTTATTTCTCTTTCGAAGTATCAATAATTAGAATTTATTTGTCTCCACTGGCAGAAGCAATAGGGCCTCCTTCTCCTGATGACAAAAATGAGAGCAATGGATGGCTGTTTTAGTAATAGCTCCCAATGAATCATGCCTCCCTGTATCCATGCCTGTGTGCAGTAATCCTTCACAGGGATTCTAGTCTTGGCCATATGACTTGCTGTAGCTAATATGGCATTACAAACATGACAGAAACAGGAACTTGAAAAATGTTTGCATGAGTCTGATTTCTCTCCTTCGATGAATTTGGAAACCAGTGCTATGTGGCTTTAGGCATTGCTCATAATGTGGGCATTTAAAAAATACAAAAGAAATCTTGAGGCTCCAGGATGAACTGAGAAGGAAAAGCCCATGTCTGCTAGACCTCCTGAACTGTCACAAGGCCCTTTTATGTCTGATACTCACTGATATCCAGGGTGATCTTTGCAGACTTACAGCAACACTGCAGGGAAGGGGTTCTAGGTGTTCTAACGATGAATTCTTAAATTTCATTTAGTCATTAGTTAATTAAAAAAATATTTACTGCACACTTACTAAAAAAGGGTAAGACAACAAGTATTACTAAAGTTCATGCATGCACAGATTTATTCCAATGAAAACATGCTCTCTACAGTAAGTAAATGGCTGTAGACAATTTCTCTCTGTAATACACTTGTCTTAGTTTCATTAGGGTACCTTCAGAAAAGGTCCATTCAGAATAGTGACTTCAGAGGGAATCTGCTGAGCCAGTTTACTTCAAACTAGAGAGGTTATGGTGACTCACTAGGTTATGGTGACTTTTTTTGGATTCCTATGGGGTGATCTTGATAGATATTCTTAAAGGGTAGAGAGTGATTCACAGGAGCTTATTAAGAAATTTTAAGAAACTGCGGGAATTTTTTCCGATCATTACAATGCACCTACACGTTTCTGAGGGTAGCATGAGGCTGTTCTATGAGAGTTTTGTTAGGAAGCCTTAGCCTACTCACCTACAGCCCTGATTTTGCCCCTTTAGACTTCTTTTTGTTTCCAAAACGCTTCAAAGGACTTGATTTGAGTCCCTGGAAGATGCCAAAACTGCCATTTTGACATGTAAATCAAAGAGCACAGAAGTCTTTGGTGAAGTAACCTTTGAATTCTTTGGTGATGGAAACACTGCCTTTAGAGTGTACAGACCTAGGTGGAGGACATGTAGAGAAGCAATAGCTTCACATTTTGATATTGTTGTTTAATAATGATTTCTATGATTTTGGAGCAATACTTTTTGACTTATCCTAAGACATCAGTAATAAATAGTATTAATGACAGTTAATACAACAGATGAGAGTAAAAATTTCAAGTGGTAGTAGCTGGTATGAAGGCAATGGAAAAATAAATGAAACAAAAAGTAAGAATGGGGTCTGGCTTCTTCTTTAACTAGGTGGTCAGAGATGGTCTCTTGGAGGCAATAATATTAAGCTGAGATTTAATAGAGTGAGGAGTTGTCCATGCAAAGAATGAGGCTAACAGGAAGAAAACATTCCAGCCAGAGAAAACCACTTGTCTAAATGTGTGACTTCTCTCCTTTTAAAAACTTGGCACCAAGGTTAGGAAAACCACAGAATTGATATTAAAGCTTCTACTCTGGCAGAGGCAGTTACTGTGGCAATAAATGGGACACAAAGACAGTTTCCTGAGAAAAGCAATGCACAAAAGGAAAATTACAAACCATAGAGCAGAGGAAATCAGACCTCAAGTATTCTTCCCATTAGTTCCTTGCATTCACCTATGTCTATAACTCACTATTATGGTAGCTGGCTTAGGCATGGACTAAATCTAAAAAAAAAAAAAAATCCGCTGAAACTTCTATTGAACATTAACCTAAACCCAGCTATCACTTGGCTTGGGAATCCTCAAAAGTTGCTCTTCCAGACATTACATAAAGTAGTTTCCACACATTTTGAGTAGATTTAAAAACAAAAACAAAAAACCCAGGCAAGAACTCTAAATTAGTATTATACCAACCTGATACTATCAAGTGCTGAAGAGATTTTACAATTCTTATAATTGTGCTTTAAGCCAAGTACAGTTATCAAGACTCACAGAACTGACCACTTTTAAGATCTGTGGATTTTACTGTATATTAGCAACTAATCTCAAACCCCACCCCCCTCAAAAAGACACACCCTCCAACAGGAAGAAGAATCTTCCTTTTTAGAGTTACATAAATACCAATATGATTTAATATACCATATAAAAAACAGATTTTCTGATGAAGAGAGTGAATTTCCCTAGAAACTAATGCTTTATTTTATTTGTTTACCTTTTTCTCATCAGTAAGGTCTAGGGATTCAAGCTGTTTCCCTTGATCTGCTGCATAGAGTTCCAGGAGATTGTCAAAATTTGTTGTCAATACTAGGGCTCCATTTTCCATTAGATGGAGGACTGATTGAAGTAGCTGTTTTCCAGAATCTTCCATCTTGGACTCCAAGTCATCAAATACTTCATATAAACAGTCCTTGAAAAATGTGGATCGAACATTGCTGGTACGCTAGAAAGGGTTTTTAAAGAAAAAATGTTATTCAGTGTGTCTTGCTAGACCATTTATTGTAATTTTAGTAACAGCAAATTTTGGAATACTTTATATTTAAAATAGGAATAACATATTAGAGGTGAAATATGGGAAACTGGAAAAGACATGCCAAATTCTTAGCATAATACCTACCTAGAACATAAGAAATCCTATTATATCACTCACAAAGAAGTATAACCTCTCTAACTAGGCATCTTTATAAAATGAGGGCATGGCAAAGAGACATGAATTACTACCAGGACAACAAAATAGCTGGGGTAGAAAGCAAAGTTGTGATTAGTTGCCATTTAGCTGATTCCAACTCATGACAATCCCGTGTGTGCGAAATAAAACCATGCTCCATAGGATTTTTTTTTGTTGTTGTTTTTAAATGGGTCACCCAGTTTGTGTTTATTGATATAAGATGCTCAGGCCTTGATGGCATACTGACGCAGTGGGTACAGCTGCTCCGTCCGCGGCTGTTTCTTGGTCTTCAGGTTCTCCTCGTGCTTGTTGAGTCTGCGGTGCATGGCTCGCGTTTTCTTGGGACGCAGATCCCAAGCTCTTTGTACTTCTTACCCTTGTAGATCTTCCTGAGGTTCTCCTCCTGAGTCTGGTTGATGACAGTTAGAACCTGGGCAATGGATTTGCAGGCAACTCGGATTTTAGAGAGCTTAGACACCGCACCGCCAGTCACTTTGGCGACGCACAGATGGGACAACTCCACCTTCAGGTCATCCAGTTGTTTCAGCAGCTCCTCCTTCTTCTTGCCGCGAAGGTCCCGTGCCTTGAACTTGGCCATGGCTGAGTGGAAAAAACCGTGCTGCTTGCTGCAGGATCTGAGGCTGAGGTAAAGAGCTCCATAGGGTTTTCATGACAGTGACCTTTGGTAGTAGAGTGTCAGGGTTTTCTTCGAAGGCACCTCTTGAGTGGCTTCAAATCACCAACCTTTTGGTCAGTAGTCAAGGCACTTGTTGTTTGTGCCACCTAGGGATAGTACACTGTTGTTGAGTGCCATTGAGTCAGTTCTGTGTAGGTTTTCTGAGGAGCGGCTGGTGGGTTTGAACCACTGACCTTGCGATTAGCAGTCTAGTGCTTATCCTACAGTGCTATACCAGAACAGAACAATGCAAACCCTCTCATTTAGACCTTAATACTTTCTTTTCTTCTTTTCAAAAACAATTTCCCTTATCTAGGGAATTGAAACAAAAAGAAAGCACTAAAGACAGTTTAGCATCCTAAATGCTTTCTATAGCTGCTTATGAATTTTGGAAAACTCACTTAACTTCTCCCTGCCTGTTTTCCCCCCGACACAATTCAGTACTTTGTTCACAGGGTTGCTATGAAAAACACCTAGCATGATAAAGGCTAAAAAATTTTGCATTTTTTAATTGTTAAAAATGATAGCAAACACTAATAATTTCTAAACAGATACTGTATTTCTCAACATCTGGCTCATTTAAATAACTATTTTCCCAGATTCCTTTTTTTTTCTTTTAAAGGTGAAATATGATTTTATTATTTTTATTAATACAGAAATACTTCATAAAAGGTGTCACCTTTTTAACATTAAAACAAAACAAATGTTGCCATTTATTATCAGACCAATAGTTCTCAATCTTTAGCATGCCTCAGAATCATCTAGAAGCCTTGTTAAAAATAGATTGCTCTACCCCACCCCAGTATATCTGATTCAGTAGATTGGGAGTTGTTACTGTTTTTGTTGTGTGTCTTTAAGTGAATTCCTACTCATAGAAAACCCACTGATTAGAGTTTAGCTGCCTCATAGAGTTTTCTAGGCTATTATCTTTATGAAACAAGATTCTCAAATCTTTTCTCCCAAGATCCCAAGAAGCAATTGGTGAGGTGGGGCTTGATGTCGGATAGGGTAGAGGTCCAGTGAGGTTCTCCGTCAGCAATACCAAAGAATACCAGGCGAAGCGGGTTAGAACTCCAAAACTCTGAACCGCATAGGTAGGAATATTTAAAAACTTTGAAGGCTTATAGCTAGTGGAACTTGTAGTGGAAATAAGAAATCTCATACTTTAGAATCTTCTGGGCTCAGCAGCCTGGAGCTGACAACTTGGGTGAGACTAAATGGCAAGATCAAGCGGGGGGAGCAAGCAGATCAGCCAAGGAATAATGCCGTGGGAACCTCAGAGCAAAGGTGGACAATATACGTTGATGGTTTTGCTTTGTTCTGATTTTTTTTTAATGGTATCTGTTCATTGGCTCCCCGCTGTTTGCGCGCCTCCATTCTGGTGACTATAGGGGGTGCCTGAGTGAGCAGAAAGCCCCCACCTCCACAACTGGTGGGTTCTTCTGCCACATAAGCACACAGATACTCTCAGCATTTAAAGCTATAGGCAGCCAGCTCAAAACGGCCACAGCTGGCCCTGAATAGGCCAGCTTGTTTCCCTATTGTTTACTAATAGGGAAAAAGACAGAACAAAGGGTGTGGAGAGGGTAAGAGACTTTAAAAACAAAACAGACTGAAAATTAAATCCTGAAAAACAGAATAACAATCAACAGGGGCATCCTGAAATTTATCAGGTGGCCTTGAAGGCAAGAAGCTGAAAGAGGATATTGAAATCATACTCATATAAAGCTACAGATTTTTTTTTCCCCTTCTCTCCCTATTTTAGGATTTTAGACTACAGTATCCAATCTAGTTTTTTTTGCTGTTGTTCATTCTTGTTGTTGTTAACCTTTGGGGGACTCTTTCTCTTCCTATATTACCCAAGAAGAAATACCAATTGCTGCCATATAGTCAAGCTACAATCTCACCTTATAAAACCCCACAATCCAGGCAAGAACCAATACCAACTGCCATACACCAGGGAGGCAGACAACACCTGCAAAAGTTACTCTGAGTTAAGTAATAAGAAGAGTGAAAAGGGAAGCCCACATCCTGATCACATCTACCTGGAAACAATCAGAAAGCACACAAAATACTAAAACACACTCAATTAAATATTAAGGCCCCAGATAAACACTAAACATGTCCAAGAAGCAAAAGCAGATGACCATATCAGCACATGTCCAGAAACAAGATAAAATGTCTGAGACAAATGATCTAGAGGTAGACCTGGACTACATTCTGGAAGGAGGGCAGGCCTTTGAAATGCCTGAGAAAGAATTCAGAAATATGATTATAAAATGTTTCAAAACACTTTACAATGGAGTTGAGAAAAATAAGGAAGTCAGGAAAGTGCTACAAGAACCATCAAATAAGATAGATACAGGATTGGAAACAATTCAAAACCTACAGAAAGAGGTCCAAAAGATCAATAACAGAATATCAGAAATAGACAATACTCTGAAAGGGCAAAGGAGTAGAATAGAAGAGCTGGAAGGCAGAACTAGTGAGCTGGACGACAAATCTCTTAATACTGCTAAGATAGAAGAACAAGCAGAAAAAAGGATAAAAATATATGAAGAAGCCCTTTTTCGGAGTCAGGTATCTGGCCTTAACGGCTGTGGAGCAGGCACACATAATCAAAGTGGCCCTGTATAGGATTTCCAAGGAGTAACTGGAATTTAAGACATTCTCTTCTATAGTTCCAGACTGACAAAGTACTCAGCAACACAAGGAAATAGGAATGATGCTCAAAATGATCAAATAAAGTTACCACCAGAGGAGGCAGTGACTGTTGAGCCCAAAGTCATACCAGCTCCCCTGGTCCAGGCTTCATTGGCTTCTGCAGGACCTTCACCAAAGAGCCTCGATAAAGAAGACTCTGTTGAAGACCTCGAGACCATCCCACGAAGGATTCCCCCAAATCCTGCAGAGGTTCAGGCAGTTCCGCTAAGAGTTCAGCAAGGAGCTTGCTGAGCAGTGGCTGAGACTTGACATCCACACAAAGGAGCAGACTGTGGAAATGTTGGTGCAGGAGCAATTGCAGGCCATCCTGCCAGAAGAACTCAAAGGTAGGGCACAGAGATATTGCTGCAGAGTCAGAATTACTGGCTGAATCAACTGGCTTCTTGCTCAGCCAACATGCGAAAAGTAAGCCAGAGTTGCTTTTTGGTGCCTGATCCAACTGAAGCGATGAAACTGTTTGCTTGAAGCTTTCCTTTGACTGTCAATAAGAAAAATCAATCAAAATCTATGTGTACCTCTATTTGAGTGAGACAGTCTTATTTCCTCGGACTGACCTTCAGGAGATATTTCTCAACCCTCGTTTGCACAATCAGATTGTATTTGCTCTACTGAATATCTCCTTGTTTGCAATTCAATATGCTCTAATATATTGCCTTTATGTAGCCAAAGAGCAATCTGCTTTAAATTTCAGAACTCTTAATTCTCACTGGGAGCATGAGTTGAACCTTCTGTAATCCCACTATATTCATTAGAAATGACTGAAATGATTAAAGTTGTCCTTAATAATAATAATCAAATATATATGAAGACGGTCTAAGATTCATGTTGGACAACATGAAGAGGAAACCCTTAAGAAGTATCAGTATTCCAGAACAGGAGGAATCACACAAATCCAAGGGAAATAGTTGAAGAACTGCTGGAAGAAAATTTCTCTAACATCCTGAAAAGTGAAAAGATAAACATTCAAGAAGCTCAACGAACCCTAGGAAGGATAGACCCCCAAAAGAACATCATCGAGCCATATCATAATCAAGCTCTTCAAAATCAAAGATAAGGAGACAATCCTGAAAGCAGCTAGGGAAAAGAGGAGCATTACATATAAAGGCAAGCAAGTCAGATTAAGTTTGGATCTCTCAGTAGAAACCATGCAGTCAAGAAGGCAGTGGGGAGACATATATAAAACTCTGAAAGAAAAAATCTGCCAACCAAGAATTCTGTATCCAGCAAAGCTATCAATCAAATATGACAGTGTAATCAAAACATTCTAGGATAAACAGAAGCTCAGGTATTTTTCCAAAGCGAACCCTGCACTACAAAACATCCCAAAGGGAGTTCTGTGGTCTGAGAAGCAACAAGAACAACCAGAAATTGACAG